CGCAAACGCCTGAGCGCTCCTCATCCCCTGACGGAGGTGGAATAGACGTTCCCCCGCCGCTCTCCCCCTCTGGTGGATGGTCGAAGACCGCACGGAAGCGACGGGAGAACTCCGCATAGGTGACTGTGGTGGCGTCTATTCCCCTCCATTCGGCGTTGGCCCACTCCAACGCCTTGCCGGTGAGACAGGAGATGAGGGCGGAAACGCTCTCGTATCCCGAGGGCGCCGGGTGTATGGTGGCAATGTAGAGCTCCACTTGTAAGAGGAACCCCTGACACCCGGCAGCGGTGCCGTCGTACGCCCTCGGGAGCGAGAGCCGAATCCCACTGGATTCCGGTCGATGGACGGGCTGGCTGTCCGGTGGTGATGGTGCGATAGGTGGGGCTGTGGGAACCCCGCTGGTCTCCCATCGACGAAGGGTGTCCATGACGCCCTCCAAGGCGTGCCCGATTCGGTTGATCCGGTGCTCTTGCCCAAGGAGACGCTCCTCCATGGGGTCGACGGGTGCTCCTGCTGATTCCATGTAATGGTGTGTAATTCTGTCACGGTGCTGTGTAGGGGTGGTGTAGAATCAGGCGCAGGCAGCAGAGGATAAGTCCAACAAGACTTTTACTGAAGCACAAAAATAATCCAAAACAGCCCGGAGGCAAAAGGACGCACACAGGCGTAAATGCGAGCGCACACACAGGTGCGTAAAAACTCTCCTAAACACACAAGGAGGCAACGAAGGAAAATAGCGTACCGACACGGGTAGCGCAACCACGACATGAACAATTACACACAACACTAACCTAACAACAAGGAAACTAAATAGGGTGCTAAATGAGACCTAACACAAAACAGGTGTGACTAACAGACAAAACCAAACAAACAAGAAACATAGAGCGGTGGCAGCTAGAACTCCGGAGACGACGACCGGCGAAACCTGCCCGAACAAGGAGGAGGAGCCGCCTCGGCCGAAACCGTGACACATAGATTAATAGTTTGTAGCTCAAACCATTCAGACTTTACAGACATTAATCACACAGACTAATGGATGGTATCAATGGATGCAGAAGAAATAGACAAATCCAATAGCTCAAACACACCATGCTTAAAGACATGCTCCGGAACTTTGCTGACTACTAAGTCTTTTTTTAAACCTCCCGCTTTGGGCTGGATGTGTCAATGTGTAGTTCATACATGCATAATCTACGAGCAAAATTACTGGAAGTTTTTCTGGAAGCTTTCTGGAAGCACTACATTTTCCCCCACGTGGGTAAGGCTCCTAGCAACTTGAGTTCTAGCCAATGAGCTTCAGCCTCTCACCATTTGAGTGACAGCTAGCAAGATGCACACACAGCAGAGCGAGAGAGAAAGCAATGAAGTGGTGCACACATCTGCACAGATTGTACGCAATTTTCGGGGACCACTTTTGAGTGCTACTTTCAGAACTACTGGCTAAAAAGTATACAAAAGAACCGATGAATCGCATTAAAAGGGGTTAGATGTCATAAATCACTGCAATGACTTAGGACTAATTGGGTTAACCACTTTTTTTCAATTTTCGCCTAAAATTATTTACCCAAATCTAACTGCCTGTAGCTCAGGACCTGAAGCAAGGATATGCATATTCTTGATACCATTTGAAAGGAAACACTTTGACGTTTGTGGAAATGTGAAATGAACGTAGGAGAATATAACACATTAGAGCTGGTAAAAGATAATACAAACAAAAAACATTTGTTTTCTTAATTTTTTTGTTCCATAATCTTTCAAATGCAAGAGAAAGGCCACAATATAATATCGCAGTTTAGGCGCAATTTAGATTTTGGCCACTAGATGGCAGCAGTGTGTGTGCAAAGTTTCAGATTTATCCAGCGAAGCATTGCAATACTGGACTATTTTGTATCAAGTCTGCCCAAATGTGCAGAATTGGTCAATTGATACATTTTCAAATGCATAACTATAGAGAACATACAAAAATGATACGGTAATACAAAATGTAAGTTTATACACTCCCAGGAATGTCATACATGATGGGTCATTAGCTTATACACTAACTTTCACACATCTAGATGGGGTGGGTGTGGAGCCAGAGACAACAGGGGTTCAAACTGTAGAACCCAGTTCCTACATTTGAATATAAAAATGGATTTTATCAAACAAAACTATGCTACATTGTACCTCTAGGACCCTTAGGATGACAAATCAGAGCAAGATTACTGAATGTAAGTACATTATTTACCTTCAGAGGTGAATGTATCAAACCAGTTGCCGTGATACGTTTTTTGTTGTTGTGCACTCTCCTCAAACAATAGCATGGTATTTTTTCACTGTCATAGCTACTGTAAATTGGACAGTGCAGTTAGATTAACAATCATTTAAGCTTTCTACCCATTTAAGACATGTCTATGTCCTGGAAAGTTTGCTGTTACTTACAACAGTCATGCTACTCACATTAGCACACGTTATATGGGACACCGATCCCGTAGAGGTTAAAGGGGAAGTCTGTGGTTTCTACATTGTTGGTCTTATAAATTAATAATATATACAGTGTCTTCAGAAAGTATTCACACCCCTTGACTTTTTCCACATTTTGTTGTGTTACAGCCTGAATTTAAAATGGATTAAATTGAGATTTGTTTTCACTGGCCTACACACAATACCCCATAATGTCAAAGTGGAATGATATTTTTCCACATTTTTACAAATTAATTAAAAATGAAAAGCTGAAATGTCTTGATTCAATAAGTATTCAACCCCTTTCTTATGGCAAGCCTAAATAAGTTCAGCAATAAAAATATGCTCAACAAGTCACATAATAAGTTGCATGGACTTAATAATACTGTTTAACATTATTTTGAATGACTGCCTCATCTCTTTACCCCACACATACAATGATCTGTAAGGTCCCTCAGTCGAGCAGTGAATTTCAAACACAGATTCAACCACAAAGACCAGGGAGGTTTTCCAATACCTCACAAAGAAGGACACCTATTGGTAGATGGGTGAAAGAAAAAGCAGACAATGAATATCCCTTTGAGCATGGTGAAGTTATTAATTACACCTTGGATGGTGTATCAATACACCCAGTCACTACAAAGATACAGGTGTCCTTCCTATCTCAGTTGCCGGAGAGGAAGGAAACCGCTCATGGGGCCAATGGTGACTTTAAAACAGTTACAGAGTTGAATGGCTGTGATAGGAGAAAACTGAGGATGGATCAACAACATTGTAGTTACTCCACAATACTAACCTAACTGACAGACTGAAAAGAAGGAAGCCTGTACAGAATACAAATATTCCAAAACATGTATCTTCTATGCAACAAGGCACTAAAATAATAAAGCAAAAAATGTGGCAAAGCAATTCACTTTTTGTCCTGAATACAAAGTGTTATATTTGAGGCAAATCCAATTCAACACATTACTGATTGTCACGCCCTGACCTGGAGAGACTGTTATTCTCGAGGTAGTTTGGTCAGGGTGTGAATATCATATATTTTGTATTTCTATGTTTGGCCGGGTGTGATTCCCAATCAGAGGCAGCTGTCGCTCGTTGTCTCTGATTGGGGATCATACTTAGGCAGCCAGTTTTCCTGCCTGGGTTGTGGGATCTTGTTTGTGTTTCGGTGACTTTGGCATGTTTGTGTATAGCCTTCCGACGTCTCGTTTCGTTGCCTTTTTGTTGTTTTGTCAGTGTGTATTCATTAAAATAAACATGTTCTTATACCACGCTGCACCTTGGTCTGACCCGTCTCTCAACGACCGTGACACTGATTTCCACTCTCCATATTTTCCAACATTGTGGTGGCTGCATCATGTTATGGGTATGCATGGACTGGGGAGTTTTTCAGGATAAAAAGGAACGGCAAATCCTAAAAGAAAACCTGGTTCAGTCTGCTTTCCACCAGACACTGGGAGATAAATGTACCTTTCAGCAGGACAGTAACCTAAAAAAAATAATTCCAGACTAGTACCTAAAACAACATGGCCGCTATTGACCAATAAACATTAATATGGGCGTGTTCTGGCAAATAAATGTCATATAAATCAGTCGAGGATATTGGTATTGTAGCAACATTTGATGCACGTTGCAAACACTGTCAAGACTAAACATATGCAAGAACACATGCTCAGGGATATGAGTCCAGATAACACATGCGATACGCCAGACACCACTGCCCCGATAGACGAAACTTAGATGAACGATGCATCTTGCCACAGAGATCCATCATTTACTCAATTACACTGATTGGCCCTGCATCATTCGTAGGGGACAACATGTTTACTGTTGCCTTGTTTTCTTTTCATTTGGGCCTGTCCATATCGGCCAATATCCCCCGACTGTAAAGGGTTAAAACTATTATCTTGATGTTATGGATGGTCAATCCATTCATCCATAGCTCTGTATGAATTTGAGAGTTATTACATTTCTCCAGCCTCATCCCTCAGCTGTTTACCAAAAAAAAAAGTGACAGCTTTGTTGGGGTGGCTGCTTTGTTGTTGTTGGAATCCCAGATCGCTCCTTTAATTAAAGCACAATATTTTTACAGTATGAAAAAGCAGTTTGCTGAATAACAAGTCCACAGTCACAAAGGTGTACGTAGGCCTAAGTGTTTTTAATCAATGCTAAACATTTTACCATGAAAATCATATTTTATGCAACAACAGGAAAATGAAAATACTTTAATCTTCAATACTTTGATCTTCCTTTATTCAGCAGCTTCTTTGTCCTGTAAGAAGTAAGAAAATAATGGCTTTATTAATTAATAATAAACATGCTAAATATATGACACTTGAAAGCATAATGGATCAAGCGTTTAAGGCTCAGTGCTAACCTTTAATTTTCCATTTTGAAGTACCAATTCATATTTTTTTTTTAAATGTAATTCTTAGAGACCTTAAAGACATTTGAGTGAGTGTAAAAGGTCAGTATTGACCTCTGTGAAGACTGAATCGTTGATGATTGATGTTGATGTGGTTCTATTTGAACATGAGTCAGGTGTAGGTTTAGGTTTAGGAGCAGCTCTGTACCTTTCCACCGTCGCGTGTCTTGGCTCTGAGCTTGTTGACCTGAGTCTCAGCGATGTCAGCACGCTCCTCAGCCTCCTCCAGCTCATGCTGAACCTTCCTGAACTTAGACATGTGCTGGTTAGCTGCTTCCTCCTGCGTGAGGATAATAGAAGAGCATAACATCAGCATTCAAATAGGGAGATGGAAGATACAGCAGAGAAAGTGAGTTGCAGAACGGGGGATCAAACCGCTGCCTCCAGGGGCGACAGCATTACCAATAGACCAGCCCCCAGCACAGAAAATGAATATTCAACGCCCTCTCCTTTAAGTTGGTAACAACACACAGGCATAGGGAGGCATAGGAGGCAGAAATGTGCATAAGTTCTTCAGTTGAGTCATTGTGGACTTCCACTAAACTGTATGGACGTGAAGTTTTGTAATGTCTACTAGGGGAAAAAATATGTTTTTGAATGTATGATTTCAGAGTATTTGACTAAGTTTGTGACTCACCGCTTCCTCAGCCTGCCTCTTGTAGGCCTTCACTTTCAACTGCAGCTTATCTACCAGGTCCTGAAGTCTGCCGACGTTCTTCTTATCCTCCTCAGTCTGTGGGAGAAGATCAAAGAGTCAATGCACCATAGTTTTATACACAAACCTGTCTGTGTTTGTGTCAAGTGTGTGAAGAAGGCACTTTCTCTTACCTGGTAAGTGAGCTCCTTGACTCTGCGCTCATACTTGCGGACTCCCTTGACCGCGTCTACACCTCTTCTCTGCTCGGCCTCCACCTCAGTCTCGAGCTCACGCACCTTCGTGGAATAAATAAACGTAGGCGTTTGAGGTGGTGAAATCAGACGTAACATATCTTTTCAAAACAGAGGCATATTACTCTACTCAATCAAGGAGGCACAATTGTTGTCTCTTCCTATGTACTTTTACAATTGTAATGATAACAGCTTTTCATTATCTAGGTAGATTATTGACAGAAAGTCATAGCACAATGCTCCTGTGTATTTTTATAAGATTAAATCAATGTCCAGCAATCAGTCTTTCAAACCACCCTAATCCACCCGGCTGTTAACTCACCCTGGACTCCAGTTTCTGGAGCTGCTTCTTGCCTCCCTTCATGGCCAGATTCTCAGCCTCATCCAGGCGGTGCTGCAGGTCCTTGACTGTGACCTCCAGGTTCTTCTTCATCCTCTCCAGGTGAGAGCTGGTGTCCTGTTCTTTCTTCAGCTCCTCAGCCATCATGGCCGCCTGGAATGGTAATTTGTTGAATATATGCACCAATTTGCCCCAATCATAGTCTCTCTAGACAGATGGGTTGCCTCCCAGACAGATGGGTTACCAATGTTGCAGCATACATGTCTGCACTAAAACCAACGTCACCTTAACGGAGAGGAAAGGACAGAGTTGAAGCCGTAAAATCTGTCCAGAGCCCTGCCAAACAGTTCGGGTTGCTAGCTAGATGGCGCTAGAGTATATTTTCAATGAGTGTATTTCACAAGTAAGACGTTTGCATGCATCATGATGCTAATGATAATATTAATATTAATAATAATGACTGGCTGTGGCTTAAATTAGCCTAGCTATCTGCGTCCGCATTGTGTGTCCATCCACTTTTGTAACGATTCCCAGGCGTAGCGCTGTTGCCCTAGATCTGGGATTTCCAAGACTACACCAATCATAACGTCCCTCTGAGGTCTTTGTTGTGGTTAACCAACCCAGCTACCATTGGCCCTTTGGGACAAATCAAGTTGATGTTATTCAATAGATCATAAGGACTCACATCAGTGATGGCCTTTTTGGCCTTCTCCTCTGCGTTCCTGGCTTCCTGGACGATGTCGTCCACCTCTCCCTGCACCTGCACCAGGTCAGTCTCCAGCTTCTTCTTGGTGTTCAGAAGGCTGGTGTTCTGGAGGAGGAAACAAGACCATTTGTTTGACGCTCAAGAGAACTTACAAGTCACAGGGCAGAAATTATGAAAATCTAAAAGGCAGCACTGTCGAATTCCAGATGCTTGGTTGCGTTTCATTAGAAATGGCTTTTGACCCATACCTGGGAGTGCAGCAGTCCAACGCGCTCGCTGGCGTCTACCAGCTCAGTCTCAGCCACTTTGCGGCCTCTCTCTGTCTGCTCCAGAGCAACTCTCAGCTCCTCAATTTCAGCCACCATTAGGCCGTTTCTGCGCTCCACCATGGCTGCCTGCTCCTTCATGTCCTCTGAGGCGCGGACGGCGTCATCAAGGTGCAATTGGGCATCCTGGGGTTCACAATGACATAGATTCATTAGGACTCATTGGCAGGTAGGGGCGATAGGATCAGTGATTGATAGAAATGTTCATTGGTAAGAATTTCCCCAATTTCCCTACCTTTCTACTGTATATTAATCCACTATTCAATTCCTCTATTTTATTTTTTTCTACAGACTCACAAACAAATCCCTCCCCATGTTCAGATGTTTGAGCCTGATGTCCCAGTCCCTTTACCTTGAGCTGTCCCTGGACGTTCCTCAGCTGTTTCTGGGCCTCGGCGGCCTGCCTGTTGGCGTGGCTCAGCTGGATCTCCATCTCGTTCAGGTCTCCCTCCATCTTCTTCTTCACCCTCAGGGCGTCATTCCTGCTCCTGACCTCAGAGTCCAGGGTGCTCTGCATGGAGTCAACCACCCTCTGGCTGTTCCTCTTGATCTGCTCCATCTCCTCGTCCTTCTCAGCGATCTTTCTGTCCACCTCACCCTTGATCTGGTTCAGCTCCAGCTGCACACGCAGAATCTTGGATTCCTCGTGCTCCAATGTGCCCTGGACAAAGAGAAGCAGTCAAACGAATTGTCTTTATTACATTTGGATGTGTATAACACAAGAAATTAAATATATATGACTACAATAAACACCAATACAGGGAGCATTAGACTGTAGCTGGAATTGGCATGTCAGAGGTGAGTCGCGAGTTATGAGAATATATTTAAAATCACACACTCTTTCTTCTTAATTTGGCTCATTGGAGAACGATTTGGGTCACGGGAGGACGGTCAATTTCTCTTTTGGGTCTGGAGCTGAAAAAGTTGTAACAGTCCTTTTCCCATCATACAGTTGTAGTTTGTACCTCAGCCTCCTCCAGAGCGGTCTGGATCTCAGACTTCTCTGTCTCCACAGTCTTCTTGGCCTTCTCCAGCTCATGGATGCTCTTGCCAGTCTCTCCGATCTGCTCAGTCAGGTCAGAGATCTCCTCTGCACACACAAACAAAGGAGCAGTTTAGACTTGGGAGATTTTCAGTGGATATAACCAATGCACTGAAGTTGACATTAAATCATAATAATAGTTTATTAAAGAACAGCACTTCATACGGTCTTACAAATCTAATTGCCCTCCACTTCCTTGTGTTGTTCAAAGGAATACCGAATACTAAATAATAATATTTTAAACTGTACATAAAAAAACTGAGTTGGTGTAATAGTAATTTTGATGATTACAGTTTCTTCCATTTTCAAAACATTATTCAAACATGAGCCAAATAGAACTTCTGTCAAATGCTCACGTTGCAGGTTCTTGTTCTCTCTCTTCAGAGTCTCCAGATGATCCAGAGCCTCCTCGTAGGAGTTCTTCATCTTGAAGAGCTCAGTGCTCATAGAGCGAGCCTCCTTCTGAGCTCCTTCCAGCTCAGCCTGACCCTCCTCATACTTCTGCTTCCACTCTGCCAGAACCTAGGGATATACATGGCATTTTCATTAGAAGTCAATAATGAAGAGTTTTGAATCAGAAATATACTACAATTTTACTACAATTGATCATATCCTGTAGCAACTAGAAACTACAGTATCACGCTAGGGTGAGGGTTATTCATTTTCACCTTGTCAAAGTTCCTCTGCTTCTTGTCGAGGTTGGCGGCCATTGCGTTGGCTCTCTCAACGTCAATCATGAGGTCCTCCACCTCTCCCTGCAGCCTCTGCTTGGTCTTCTCCAGGGAGGCGCACTTGGAGTTGGTCGCCTCAATGGTCTCCTCAGCCTCCTGCAGACGCTGGGCCAGCTTCTTCCTGTTGGACGACAGAGGGTGATTTTTATTGTGACCAATTTGTTGCAAAACAAATGTTAAAATAACTTACAATACATATTGATGCAACATTTTCTCAGAGCCCCCTACCACCCTCACCATCCACACCCTATGTTTATGTTTTTGCTGTGGCGTGTGACTTACTTGGCCTCCTCCAGCTCCTCTGTGCGCTGGATGGCATCAGTTTCATACTTAGTCCTCCACTGAGCCACCTCGCTGTTGGCCTTGGACATTCCGCGTTGCAGCTCTGCCTTGGCCTCCTGCTCCTCTTCAAACTGCTCTCTCAGGAGGTCACAGTCATGGCGGGCAGACTGGATACCGTGGGCCAGTGCGTTTTTAGCCTGTGAGAGAGAAAGAGAGAAAGAGAAAGAGAGTAAAACAAATGACAGTAGAAGTCTCTGAGGGTGGCGTAGTCACAATCTATAGGAAGATATGGCTCTAAACTCTGTGGTCGGTGGTGTCCATTTTGGGTTCCTTACCTTGACCTCCTCCTCAATCAGTCTCTTCATCTCCTCCACCTGCTGGGTGAAGGCCTGTTTGCCTCTGGTCAGCTGAGACACCAGGGCTTCCTTCTCCTCCAGCTGGCGGCCAAACTCACCTGCAGGGAAAGAGGGACATCTTGTTAATAGGGTCTCGTTTCACTACGATTGAAAATGTATTTTGAGGTATCGTAGGGCAAAGTTAGGTGGGGAATAGTACAGTAGAAACTACAGTATGTGGACTGGACTATATGGATACAGCCCCCCAAAACGTTATTGTACACTACATTGGTTTGTTGTTCATTGTTGATGGGTACCATTTTCTGTCAGGAGTCTGGCCCTCTGTCCGCTGATGTCATTGACCTGGCGAACATTCTCATCATTCTTAGTCTTGAGCTCGCTCAGCTGGTCCTCAAGAGTACGGCACATCTTCTCCAGATTGCCCTGTTAGTGAAACAAGTTCCATCGTTACTTTATATATGGGACTCCTGTCAACTTCAGTTCACTTGAATGGTAATGAAGTTGACCCTCCTCAACACTTCTTGACTAAAACATCACTACTCACTTTAGACTTGGCGACAGCCTCCATGTTGCTGGAGAGGTCATCAATCTCCATCTTGTATTCACTCTTCTCCTTCTCCAGCTTCTGCTTGACCCGCTGCAGGTTGTCGATCTGCTCCCCGAGCTCAGCCACACTGTCGGCCTGCTTCTTGCGCAGAGCGGCGGCTGTGGCCTCATGCTGCAGGGTGGACTCTTCAAGATCACGACGCAGCTTCTGGAACTCAGCCTCGCGCTTCTTGTTCATCTCAATCTGAGCAGCAGTGGCGCCGCCGGCCTCCTCCAGCCTCTCGCTGATCTCCTCAAGTTCCCTGGAGAGATCGGCCCTCTGCTTCTCAACCTTAGCCCTGGCAGCACGCTCAGCCTCAATTTCCTCCTCCAGCTCCTCAATACGGGCCTAGAACAGGGGGCAGGAACAGGGGGGATGAACACTACAATACAGTTGAAACAAGTGATCCTCACAAAATTGTAATAGTTTGTATATTTTGCATAAATGTGTTAATACAAAGCCAGTTACATTAATACATTCAGTAGACAGTGTCCCATGTGGCAACCAAAACCACAACGGTAAGAAACACCATCTTTACAACATTAAGAAACACCATCTTTACAACAGTAAGAAGCACCATCTTTACAACAGTAAGAAGCACCAATTTTACAACGTTAAGAAACACCATCTTTACAACAGTAAGAAGCACCATGTTCCAATTTACTGAGCCGTCAGAAGCCACCAGGGAAAATGTGTGCTACCAGAATACATTTTTACAGGAAATGATTCAGGTGTGTTCTTTCCTGTACAGGAGCTTATATCTTGTTGTACCTGGAGTTCCTTGATCTTCTTCTGCAGCTGAGCTCCCAGAGACTGCTCATCCTCAATCTTGCTGAGGAGCTGGGTGGTCTCAAAGTCCTTCCTATGAAACACAAACACGTCAATTGCAGAGATAATTTTGATTTGATAGTGTAAAGTGAGAATATCATACCATTCACTTTGCTTTTAACGATCACATGCAAATGCTAATTCATAATTACAAACATGTGTCAAGAACAACCTTTATGATCAATATTTGTAAAACTGTAAACATTTGTTTGTGTTTACTTCTTGATTTTCTCATCAGACTGCTGCTTGTCATTCTCCAGGTCCATTATGGACTCCTGGGCCAGTTTCAGATCTCCCTCCAGCTTCCTCTTGGATCTCTCAAGGTCCATACGGAGCTTCTTCTCTTGCTCCAGAGAACCCTCAAGCTACAATATAAAAACACACACATATTGTTCAAATCTAAATAACTAAAGATAATATCATCATATCATGGCCAAAAATGTCAAACTCCACTCACGTCGTCCACTTGCTGTTCCAGCTTGGTCTTGGCCTTGGTCAGAGTGTTGACTTTGTCCTCCTCTGCCTGCAGGTCGTCCAGTGTCTGCTGGTGGGCCTCTTGGAGGGCTTTCTTCTCCTTGGTCAGCTTGGCAACACTCTCATCCATAGATGCCATCTCCTCTGTCAGGTTTTTAACCTGAAAACAGTCACAACAAAATGAGTCTTTATGGTGACTTCACCATAAAGGGGAGATTTAGTTTGATATATATTGCATTCATTTCATTCAGATTAGAAAGGTCAACAAATACTGTACTATAGACTCAACAATAGATGGCAGTGTACTCCATGCCAGTGTACTGAGGGGAAATCATAAACGAGGGGGGAACATGCAATGAATGTGGGGAGTACCCCAAAACAGACATTCCACTATTTTGTGTCTTGATTTTCCCTGCACCCTCAAAACGACTTGAATTCAATTTCTGTTTAACTATGGTTTGAGTTGGTAATTGTATAGATTATTGTTTTGTGAGATTGTCTACGAGACCTTGTTTTCGGTGGCGTGCTTCTCCTTCTCCACTTTGGCCAGGGTGAGCTCCAGGTCATCAATGTCCTTCTTCAGCTCAGAGCACTCATCCTCCAGCTTCCTCTTCTTGGCAGTCAACTCAGCATTCATCTCCTCCTCATCCTCCAGCCTCTCGGTTGTCTCTTTGAGTTTGGCCTCCAGCTGGATCTTGCTCTTGATGAGCCCCTCGCACCTTTCCTCAGCATCGTTCAGATTCTCTGAATCCTGGTTTCAGAACAGGAGAAAAAATGTGCAGCCTCACTTTGTGTATCAACAGATAGACGTAATGTTGTCAAAGAGGTCAGAGCAAATCAAAATAAATGCATGAAATGTATAGCCTATGTAACATAGTCAATGTAAATGTGTGAGTTAGCACATTCGTCACAGTGTTCATAAGTGTGTGTATGTGTGATTGTGTGTGTTTGTGTGTTTGTTTGTGCATGCGCGTGTTCGTGTCTGTTATCATATGTGTGTAAATGTGCCATCATGGGGGTCGTTGATCACTCACAGATGCGACTTGGAGCGCCAGGTCTGACTTCTCCTGCAGCAGGGACACCATCTTCTCCTCCAACTCCTTCTTCTTGGCCAGAGCCTTGGCCAGGTCCGTCTGCATCTTCTCATAGTTCTCCTTCATGTTGGCCAGCTCCTTCTCAGTCTCTGCGCTCTTCAGCAGGGGCTTGATCTTGAAGTACACCTTCATCCATGGCCAGGTCTTCACATTCATGAATGAGCGAATGTTGTACTGGATGGTGAAGACTGCATCTCTGGGCGACAGAAAGGATGGAGTGGCATGGTGAGTGGCATGGTGAGTGGCATGGTGAGTGGCATGGTGAGTGGCATGGTGAGTGGCATGGTGAGTGGCATGGTGAGTGGCATGGTGAGTGGCATGGTGAGTGAGTGGCATGGTGAGTGGCATGGTGAGTGGCATGGTGAGTGGCATGGTGAGTGACATGTTTAATAAAGGTACATTCTGGGATTCGAAGAACCACAAAATGGTGCATCCCCCCCCCCCCCCCCCCCCCCCCCCCCCTTTTGTGAACAGCTGAGGATTGGGGCTAGGGAAATGTAACCCCCTCTTAAATTCATAGACAGAGCTTTAGATGTGAGGACTGACAGGTCAGGCTAAGCTCATGAGGCATTTTATATTCTTCAAGAATTAATGGGTAAATATCGCACATTTAAATGACAATTCAACAGCTTTCCAAATCCCAAACTACAGCTTTAATAGATTATTCTAAGACATACTTTCTCATTGTGAACAACTCACAGCATATACAATATTTAGTCATAATGAATTAGATACAGGTGGTTGACAGAAAGCTTTGCCAAGACATCTACTATTCCTCACCTCCTCTCCATCATCTTGGTGAACTCTCTCCTCATGAGGAATCCACGGCTGAGAGCCTGGACCATGCCGACCAGAGAGGCCAGCTTCTCATCTCTCATCTCCTCCAGGACACCCAGCAGACCGGCTTTGAAGAACACCTGAGACACAGGTAAACATGGTCAATTATGAAACCACAGTCAGATGGTGACAGATAAAAAGTGTTGAATCAAAAGAGAGGAACAACACCACTAGATTGATTTGAACAACATAAACATTGTAATGCTTACAAACGAACCATGGGATAGGTTGTTTATAAGTTGTTATTGTACAGTTGTAGATAGTTAATGTACACAGATACAGATAACTGAAGCCATCCCAGTCTAACACAATGCACATGACAATGAGTTGAGTTTCTCTTCTATGCTTGTGATGGATGACTTTGAAGAACAAAACACTACCAATGTTTTTACACCTTTTCCATTAGTTAAAGGGGCACTCTGCTGTTTCTACATCTATTTTTGGACCTATAAATTAATTAGACGTACCCATTGATTCTTGAAGAATATAACTTATAAATGCCTCATGAGCTTAGTTCAACTGTCGTACCCCACCAGAACCCAAAATATAAGCTAGTTTTACTCCAATGTTTTTAGACAAAGTAAATGTAAACTAACACTATATAGCCTCAAAACATGGTTAAAACTATCATCTTGATATCATGGATGGTCAGTCCTTGCATCCATATCTCAGTCTATGAATTTGAGAGTGGTTACATTTCTCCAGCCACATCCCTCAGCTTTTTACCGAAACAGGGGGCCTGGGAGGACACTTTATAATTGTTTGAACAGCTGATTGCCCCTTTAAATGAAGAAGAAAAATCAAAAGGACGTATAGACCAACTGGAGGGATGTTGAATGGTTAGCGTTTAAATGATCAATGAAGTTGTGTTTTGTTGTCAGCTTTTGCAGGGTGTAGGTGACTGACCTTGGTGTGTCCAAACTTGTAATCATCGTGATTCACATCAATGGACCCAAGCAGCTTCTCAGAAGCCTTCTTGTTGTCCATGAACTGGCCCTCGGGGATGACACTGGCATTCAGTACTTTGTACCTGAATGAGGATACATTTTGAACATACGTCAAGTTGTAATAGATTGGTTATATTAAGTAAAAGGTAAGACTGTTCTGATGCTGGGAAAACCCTTGGAGAAGATCTTTCTGTGTGTGCGTGTACACGTGCATGCACGCGCGCATGTGTTTATTTGTGTGTGTGTGCTTGTGTACCTCTGCTTGAAGTCAGCATAGATGATTCGGCTGGGGAAGCCCTTTCTGCAGATCCTGATACCCTCCAGTACACCATTACACCTGAGCTGGTGGATAACCAGGAAGTTCTCCATCAGACCTGGAAAAACAAACCAAGTCTCTTTCAATACTCATAAACAGGTTAAAGATTGGGCTCATTAAGGTTACTGAACTGATAAGATGCCATATTTAACTCAATATTTTTTGTACCTGGAGTCTTTGACTCGTTGGGGATCAGGCAGCGCACAAAGTGAGGATGAGTGCTCCTCAAGTTGGTCATCAGCTTATGTAAGTTCTCCTGTAAGAGGGTTACAAACCATTTTCTCAGAAATAATTGATGATAATCAATGCACCTTTTGAAGGACTGAATATACACATTTCAGAAGCTCACCCTGAACTGGGAGGACACAGTCTGCATGGAACCACCCTTCTTCTTGCCTCCCTTCTTGGTATTATCTGTTAAAATGGGCAAAGTAAAAGATAACTAGACAAGTACATTTCCCACAGCGGGTGGAATGAATAGAATACAAATCCGAGTATGTAAGACATCTAAAATGGTCTTTGACTTCAGCAAAGCACACTAATTATAAATGAGAGAATCTGGGGTTAACTTCACACTTATCTTTAACGCAAATGGTGCCAATGAGATTGTGTAAAACAACACCAATTAAATGTACGCAGTGAATAAGCCTGAGAATTTGTGATACATTCAAAGACTAAAGGAAACGTGGGTCTGAGTTGTAACTAGTGCTTAGTTAAATCTTTTGGCGTGATGCTGGTCTTACCCTCAGGTGGGGCAGCGGGGTACAGGGCAGCCAACAGTTTAACTGAGGACTTCCCGTACAGCTGAATAACTGAATCGTTCAGGGGGTCCTTGTTCTTCTCCAGCCAGCCAGTGATGTTGTAGTCCACAGTGCCGGCGTAGTGCACCAGGGAGAAGTGGGCCTCTGCCTTGCCTTTGGCAGGCTTGGGCTTCTCAAACGCCTTGGTTTTCCCAAGATGCTGGGCGTACAGCTTGTCCTTGAAGGTAGTGTCTGAAGACTTGGGGAACATGCACTCCTCTTCAAGGATGGAGAAGATGCCCAATGGCTTTACGAAAAGAGTATGTATCAAATTAATGATATTTACATTTAGGATCACATGCATTCCTTTAGCTAACATGCTATTATAGGATTATATTAATTTAGGGGCACATAATAGATAACATATTGAGTTATCAACAGTCAAATACGTTATACCCCAGTGATAATATCTCACACAGCACTCGCTATCAGCTTTGCTGTTGTGGTCCATTGTAATCCTCAGACAGTTTACCTTCTCAATAAGCTCAATGCAGGCAGCCAAGTCCATGCCGAAGTCAATGAAGGCCCAGACAATTCCTTCCTTCTTGTACTCCTCTTGCTCCAGGACGAACATGGTGTGGTTGAAAAACTGTTGCAGTTTCTCATTGGTGAAGTTGATGCACAGCTGCTCCATGCTGTTGTACTGTTGATGGAATTTGAAAAGGGATCATTTCATCATTCAAGGCTGCAATTCCTCTCAATCACAACTAATTGTCTTGTTCTGGTCTCATACTCACATCAAAGATCTCAAACCCAGCAATGTCGAGCACACCGATATAGAACTGCCTTGGCTGTTTGGTGTCCAGCATCTCGTTGATACGGATGACCATCCACAAGAACATCCTCTCATAGATGGACTTAGCCAGGGCACTCACTGAGTTATTAACCTGCAATGATTATACCTCAAATGAATATGTAAGATATTGACCCTGTCTAGTGATAAGGTGATAAGAGCTTGAGAAAAAAACAACATCACTATTCAAAAAAAGCAATGCCCTCGTCCCCAAAATAGTTCCAGTGGTGAGAAAATGGTAGATGCTGTGTTTGACTGCCTTACCTGAGGCACAGTCTGTCCCTTGGTCACGTACTCGTTGCCGACCTTCACTCTGGGGTAGCACAGAGCCTTCAACATGTCAGCTGAGTTCAGGCCCAGCAGGTAGCCGATTTTATCAGCCACTGGAGAGAGAACCAACAACGACAGACTCAGGCACACAAGATCACTTGTTTCTGATGTCACACTGACAAAATAGTTTGGTCAACTCTTTTGTGGGGTTAGGTTTTGATTTTCACCCACATCCATCATTTCAAATCATTTCTGGAGGTTGGAATTTGGTCTCCAAAAATGATCTCCTGCCTGACTTTCATGTGGCACTGTCTGTCTAACGTGTAATTGGTTTATGTTTGGGAGTGGGAATGGGACTGATGCTTTACATATTGTATATCTATGACTGGGACTCACCCTCTGTGCCGTCTGGCTCGGCCTGCTCCTCACGCTGCTTCTGCTTGAAGTGCAAGTTTCCATGGTGCAGTACAGCTCCTGTCAGCTTGTAGATGCTCATCTTCTCCTCATTAGTGAAGCCCAGGATTGTAATGGCATCCTGGCATTAGAGAGGAAGTACAACAGTGATGAAGTGAACTGCAGTTTACTCAGTTCCAGCTCACTCCAGGACAAATGGGATGGATACATTTCACTGGCTTCTCTGTTTCACATGATGACGCTTGGTCAACACACTAGTAGATGGCAGCACAAAATGCGTTTTACACTGTTGCACAGGGCACTTAGTGGTGCTCTCTTCTCTTGTGGATGTCTTCCATGTATGTGCCTCTAGGTGAAGAGTGAAGGCATGAAGAGTGCCTTGAGGCACATGCCTAACTAACACAAGGAAGTTTGAATCAAGCATAAATATACATTACAATTCCCAGCTGCCACCAAGTTGGAATTGCACAATGCATTCAGTGTGTATGGTGGTCCTACCCATTCCATATCTAGAGTCTGGTTAACCCTTTGTATAACTCACATCTGTGGCATCCAGCTCTTCCTTGTCGTTGATGCTGGCCACAGTGATCTGACCCTGGCTGCACATGGGGAAGTCATAGGGGTTGGTAGTGATGAGCGACATTTCTGTGGACAACAGAGAACGGCTTGTCAATTAAATCTCTCAGAATTCTTCTGTCCTACCATGACCGTATATCTCCCTCCTTTACTCAATAACATGGACTCGAGGATACATGTAGTATATAATAAATAGCATCAAAAGAGGGGACTGAGACTCCTGGACTAATGTATCACAATGCATTACTTAATATGTCTTTCCCAAAGACCTGACCCATGTCTAGATGCCTTGTTACCTTGAATGTACTCATTGTAATAGTATTAATAGTGTGGATTTTTTATGTATTTTTTAAATAAGTTCCACAGAGGGTTGGGAATAATTTCCCATGAACCTCTGCTTTGCCGTACCAACTATCTCAGGTTTGTGATTGGTCATCATCTGGAAGAAGATGTGGTAGCCTCTCTCATCGGGCAGCTGGAAGGACACTCTGGACTTCTCCAGCAGGTCTGAAAGAGGAGAGAGAGAGAGAGAGAGAGAGAGAGAGAGAGAGAGAGAGAGAGAGAAGAGAGAGAGAGAGAGAGAGAGAGAGAGAGGAGAGAGAGAGAGAGAAGAGAGAGAAGAGACAGAGAAGAAGAGAGAGGAGAGAGAGACAGAGACAGAGACGAGAGACGATAGAGAGAGAAGAGACGAGAGAGAGAGAGAGAGAGAGAGAGAGAGAGAGAGAGAGAAAACATAAGATACAGTTAAACGTGATGAAATGATCTCCAAATAATTATCTGTGTGAATTTAGGAAAGCATTGAGAAACAATCAAAACCAACTCACAGGTCTCAATGTCAGCTTTAGCCAGTTTGGCTCCTTGGAAGTGAATCCTGATGAATTTACCCTTTAGTAGAGCATGGAGGTTAGAAACAAATCTAACACTTTACTTTTTTATGTGTACTTTCTACCCCTTTTTCTCCCTGATTTGTAGTTACAGTCTTGTCCTATCGTTGCAACTCCCGTACGGACTCGGGAGAGGCGAAGGTCAAGAGCCATGCGTCCTCTGAAACACGACCCTGCCAATGCACCCTGCTTTCTTGACACACTGCTCGCTTAACCCGGAAGCCAACCGCAGCAATGTGTCGGAGGAAACACCGTACAACTGGCGACCGTGTCAGCGTGCATGCACCCGGCCTGCCACAGGAGTCGCTAGAGCGCAATGGGACAAGGACATCCCAGCCGGCCAAACCCTCCCCTAGCCCGGACGACGCTGGGCAAATTGTGCGTCGCCTCATGGGTCTCCCGGTCGCGGCCGGCTGCGACACATCCTGGGATCTGTAGTGCCTCAAGCACTGCGATGCAGTTTCTTAGACCGCGGCGCCACCCGGGAGGCCTAACGCTTTACTTTGATAGACCCCTTTAAATGTTACAGTTCGTTGGAAATCTATTGATATAGCAATAGGGAACTACTGAAATAAATGTTTCCAATATAAGGTAACTTCCACAGTATGCCCTTTATACTTACAAAGCGAGACGAGTTGTCATTCCTCACTGTCTTGGCATTACCGTAAGCCTCCAGCAGAGGGTTAGCTGCAATGATCTGATCCTCAAGAGACCCCTGATTGAGACAAACACAAGTTGCTCAGAAACTTGTAAAGTGGTAAAGGTCGTTTTTCTTGACAGCTTGAACACTCATTTTTCTCGAAACAGGATTCACTGTTGAAAAAAAAGTTTCCACCCCCATCCAAACTGAAATGTGTTAGAAAGGGAAACATGAGCACAACCTACCTGCATTTTGTTGGGGTCTACTTCCTTCTTGGCACCAGACACTGCAATGGTGGCGAAGTACTGGATGACACGCTTGGTGTTGACAGTCTTTCCTGCACCGGATTCTCCACTGGTTTATATGACAGAGAAAGAGGGTTTATAGTTACATGTTTGAATGTAAAATTGTCTTTCACTAAGAAATAGCATTGAAATATACACTGTTGACCTGTTTTCTAACAAAAATCATTAACAAATATTCCCAAGTCACCCAACATATTACAACAGAAACCCTTTCTCAAGTGACATTTTGGTAAACAACTTACGTAATCAGGACGGACTGGTTCTCGTTATCTGTAACCAAAAAACATATTCCTCATCATCCTCAAGCAAAGATGTGGGTACATTATTGCATTCGTAGCATCATCATGGATTTCAGTATGGAACGTTCTCCTAATCTGTTGTGTAATGCCATTACAATGCAGGGAGCCTAGCGGTCAGAGCGTTGGGCCAGGAACCGAAAGGTTGCTAGTTTGAATCTCTGAGCTGACAAGGTGAAAATTGCTGCAGGGTTGCCGTTGCTAATGGCTGACAATGGCCATGACCCCACTCTCCGAGGGTGTCTCGGGGTGTTTGGATATGCAAAAAAACACACCTTCATTAAAAACATGCGTACACACTTGTATTATACATATGTATGTGAAACAGGACAAATATAAGCACTCACCAAATTATTATTATGCCCAGTGCTTGTGTCTTGAGAAAGACTAGTGTATGGCCTTGCGTCTTTTGAGAACTAAAATATGTGGTTTTAAATTCTCTCCATAGGATCCCCAGCTGTTCCAGGGTGAACACAACTGATTCCACTTGTCAGTTAACCAATAATAAAACCTATAGAATTTTAACATATTATGACTAATCAGAAAAAAGAACCCTTGTGGTTATTCAAAAGGTCCTTTGTAGCACCATAAAGGTTCCATTTAGAATTGTATAAGCATGGTTCTTTATAGAACCTTCACAAAAGGGTTCTATATAGCACCAGAATGGTGAATCCACTATCGTTACGAGCCAAATAACCCTTATTTGGCAGTTGCACTAAATAGAACCATTTGTTTTAAGTGTCTCCCTCTCTAAAGTATGTTTTTACTTCAATCCATCCATCCATCCATCCATGAGAATTTATGGACTTTGTGATCCATATGCATTTACGGACAGCCATCCATGAGAGCTCGTACCAATCTGCATGAACTGAAAGGCGTTGTCAGAGACGGAGAAGATATGGGGTGGAGCCTCCATCCTCTTCTTCCCTCTGTAGGCGTTGACAACCTCCATGTCGTACACGGGGAGCCACTTGTAGGGGTTCACCGTGGCACAGAAGAGCCCAGAGTAGGTCTGGATGAAAGGCATTCAATTCAATTAGGGGATTAGCAAAATCTGATTGACTTTTACCTGGATTTACGTGAGGATGTGGGTGGACTTTGGTCATGTGGGTGTGCTGTATTGGTATCTGTAGTACTGTATGTGTTCATGTGTAGTACTGTATGTGTTAATGTGTAGTACTGTATGTGTTAATGTGTAGTACTGTATGTGTTAATGTGTAGTACTGTATGTGTTAATGTGTAGTACTGTGTGTGTTAATGTGTAGTACTGTGTGTGTTAATGTGTAGTACTGTATGTGTTAATGTGTAGTACTGTATGTGTTAATGTGTAGTACTGTATGTGTTAATGTGTAGTACTGTATGTGTTAATGTGTAGTACTGTATGTGTTAATGTGTAGTACTGTATGTGTTAATGTGTAGTACTGTATGTGTTAATGTGTAGTACTGTATGTGTTAATGTGTAGTATTGTATGTGTTGATGTGTAGTATTGTATGTGTTAATGTGTAGTACTGTATGTGTTAATTTGTAGTATTGTATGTGTTGATGTGTAGTATTGTATGTATTAATGTGTAGTATTGTCTGTGTTGATGTGTAGTACTGTATGTGTTAATGTGCAGTACTGTATGTGTTAATGTGTAGTATTGTATGTGTTGATGTGCAGTACAGTATGTGTTAATGTGTAGTACTGTATGTTTTGATGTGTAGTACTGTATGTGTTAATGTATAGTATTGTATGTGTTAATGTGTAGTACTGTATGTGTTAATGTGTAGTATTGTATGTGTTGATGTGTAGTACTTTATGTATGTATTTGTTCATGTTCATGTAATTGTGTATGTTTATGCAGGTTTCTTACATAGATCATCCATGCTGCATAACGCTCTTTGAGGTTATACAACACAGAGGCTTCATTCAGGTAGGTCATCATGGCCATGTCCTCAATCTTGTCGTACTTAGGGGGATTCATCTGGTAGACGTCTGCCTCTTTGAACACTTTTCCTTCCTGAAACAGTCAGAAATCTAGATTACACGCAGATCAAACTAGACTTGACTGAATGCTTTTTGCTCATTAAATACGAGTTCAATCTTTTAAAAAATGCAAACCTCCATTTAATCCAACTACTTTGTCACCCACTGACACATACACTGAGTACACAAAACATTAAGAACACCTGCTCTTCCCTGACATAGACCAGGGATGGGTAACTTTGATCTTTGACGGGGGTGGGGGGCCGCCAGTTGCCCATCCTTGACACAGACTGACCAGGTGAATCCAGGTGAAAGCTATGATCCATTATTGATGTCACTTGTTAAATCCACTTCAATCAGTGTAGATGAAGGGGAGGAGACAGGTTTAAGAAAGGATTTTAAAGCCTTGAGACAATTGAGACATGGATTGTGTGCCATTCGTTAACGTCATTTAGGACACTCTCTTATCCAAAGCGACACACAGTAGTGAGTTCAAACATTTTCATACTTTTTTGTGTACTGGTCCCACATGGGAATCAAACCCACAACCCTGGCATTGCAAGTACCAAGCTCTACCAACTGAGACACATGGTACCAGATGATGAAGGCCCAACGAATTGAGGCTGCTATTGCTCAATATTAGGAAGGTGTTCCTAATGTTTGGTATACTCAGTGTACATGTTAATTATTGACTTATATCTAAAAAATAAAAAAAATGATGCCACTTTTAAAAAGCAGTGATAAAAAGGATGTTTGAAGGTTATATTCTGCTTACAAAAAAAATGAAGCAATGCTTCTTAATCTATCGTTTGTTTCTGATTACATTTGGTCTATTGGCATGTTTTTGATCATGTTGAGTAATTGCACAAACTTGAACTTGAATAATTTTCAAATCAGCCTTACCTCCTTGGAGCCGTCAGGATTCGTGACTGTCACGGTACACTTCCCGTCGGCCCTGGCGGTGACCAGACCCTTAAGGTACAGCTCCTTGGTGTCTGACACATAACATGCGTTCTTTGAATCAAAGGGTGCGGTTTGTGCCTCCATCCTCTCCTTCTCAGGCTTACGGAGGTAAATGGCAGCCTTGCCATAGATTTGCATCTCTGCGTCCGTACTCATGGTGACGGATTACTAGGAAAGAGATTAAACAAGAAACATGATTGATTCTGTGGTGCTACCTTCCCAGTCAACAGAGTAAGGTGAAAGGTATCTCTCACAGAATATTTTCATCATTTTTTATGTGAAGACAAACCATGTCTCACCTTGTTTTTTCCCCTCCTACAGATGAATGTGTATGTCTTGGATGACCCTGTGAAACATTAGGGTGTTGTGAATACGCACAAGTCTAAAGCCCTGTCATTTAGGGCTAGAAAAGGGCTAGAAAACATTTTGATGGCATCATTCAACTCAATCATTATGTCCAATTCAACTACAGGTGCAACTGGTAACTTTCATTTTCCTAGTGGCAACTCACTTTACTACACATTCTGTCAAGAAATCAAAATAAATACCCCTGAAAACCCAGTTACGTTCTAGACCAACCCCTCAATTTACAAACAAGTGCAGGAGCACCACTTTTGACCATAAATACAAGTTACATTCAAGTTAAACACAATTTTAATTTCAAATCAATGACACTTGATTGCATATTATAAAATATTACAAGAGACACGTGAAAAAAAAAAAAAAAAAAAGCAGAACTCAATTCAAACAGTGCAGTTATCTACTGCCTCAGATGCTGAGTGCAAAGATGTGACAAAAATGTAAAATCTAAGGAGGTGGAGAGAGTCTTACCACAGAGGAAGAAGGGATCTGACTTATGGATACTGGGTCCTCAGTCTCCTTATATCTAATTGAAAGTGCCAACCAAGCAGAAGTTAATTATGGACCACTCTGGGGAAGGACATGGATTGGATGAGAGACCTCCCCCAGACTTGTGCCTCGGTGTCTCACTAGCGTCATCAACTTCCAGGAGCGCCTCAATGTGTCTGAATTGAATTTCACTGAATTTACGCAAATGAGAAATGTCATCAGTAATAATTACGGACAGTATCAAAAGTTTGATTCATCAAATTGATTCCAATGTCACTACCACTCCCTCTCAAATACTTTAATGAGAGTGAGTCCATATTTCCCCACAACCGCTAAAATGGTTTAAATGAAATCTGATCTCCCCTTATTTACTTACATTTTAGTGGCACTAATCGTTATCAATAACTTTATATATTTATATGGACCCATTATTTTCTTCTATTGTTTTTCTTGTAAAAACATCTGAGCTGTCTCTTCACCTCATGCTTGTGACGGAGTTGGCCTTTACCTCGTGTTGTGCTTAGTTTGATTTATCACCCTGGTGAAACCATATTAAATAAATATTTCAAATTTAGAACAGAAACATTTAGGCTTTCAATTGCAGCTCATAAAACGTTTTAAACCTAATGTGTAGTTATTTATCCACATGATGATCTATTGAAGATGCTGGATGTGCTTGTATTTGTCTCACATTTCAGTTGGCCAAAACAGTCCAGTGGGATTCTTAAGATTCTTCCATGACCCCTGTACAGTACTTCAATAATATTCTCCTCTCATATTGCTGACAGCAAGAAAGCTGTCTTAAACTGTTATGTCACTGAAGTAAACCACTTAGCAGCTGAGCTGGCTTCAATAAAACTGATATACAACTAATAGGGAATAGTTACAATAAAGTAACAGATTCCTTTACATTTACACGTCAATTAATCATTTAAATCACTTTTTTTTTTTTTTAAGAAAGCTCGAGCAACTTTTGAAGGAGCCACAGTCAGCAGAGACGTTGCTTTAAATTATTTTTAATGCATGTAATTTAGCAAGTTCTTTTTTTTTTTCAAGTCAGGCATTTAATTCACAGCCTTCAATGTGCGTCACATCTCTTCTGTTTTCAAACCTCAGCCTTCAAATAGCCGTTTAAATGTTCTTTGTGTCTAATGTTCAATAGGGTAAAACCCTTATAGAACATTCACACAGAAATATATTCTGAAGAACAGATATGACTGTCTGTCAGGTAGAATAGGGAATTGTGTTGGCTCTAGTCAATGCATTTCTATCAGCAATATTCAGAACATTTCACCTCACTGAATACACCCTGTTTTTGTTTTTTTTCAGGTGCAGTGGCCAGTACATCAGTGAAAGATGCGTAGGGGGAGATGCTGGATGCACTAGTTGAGCAGGAGGCTGGGCTGACCATCTGGATGGACCCCATCAAGGCCTTTTCATTTCTTGGACTGTGCTCTTGTATTCACTGCAGCCAAGGTTCATTGTTTGGTACATCTAGCACCATTTCCACACAGCCTAATTCTGGCACCGATACCACTGTTATTATACAGACGCCATCTACTTGGCGTGTTTGTGGGTTGAGAGGGCATTTGCACCATGCAGGGGGGGGGGGGGGGGCAGACATCTGTTAACTGCCAAATGTCATTAAGCATTAAAACTGTCATAGTAAATATTTCACGTATTTTGGCAGGACCTTCTGAGGATCAGACAGTAACTCTTAATCCAATACATTTTAAGGGTGCTTTAAACGACTGTCTGTGCTCGCAAAGTAGCTGTCATGTTTGTCCGACTTCAAGGAAGATTTGAACCCATTTAACCCCAACATTTCTTCAAGTTTTCACCATCATTGTAAAGCCCTAGTTATGTTAAGTCATTTTCTGAAGATTAGTATTTATTTCATATAATTAGTAATTAATTTATGTTTGTACCTCATTTTAAGGTCAACCCTGTTACGTGAACTGAAGTCTCATTTTAATATGTTGAAAATGTTCCTTTTTAAATGATTATTTCAAAAGAAACATTGAACATCTAATAGTAAAAAACAGGTGAGCTGGTTCTATCTTTTGGGCCATTTTCTGGTGTTTTGTGGTGGAAAAACTGAGCGCTTTGAGCATAACATGTCAACCCTGTTACCCATAGATAGATAGGCTAGAAATGTATTAACAATTTTTGAAAAAAATGTGAAGCTTGCATTCAATTTCCCCTCCCTGTTGCACACAACAGGTTTTCCATTCCAACTGTCAGAAGGGGATTCATGGCTGATTTAGGATGAAAACATCAACCCTGTAATGATCAAACCTGTGGCTTTACTGACACTTTATCGGTACTTACTAACTATAGTTTATATTTCATTTAACTTCTTGAGAAAGGTTAAATGAGGTGAAATGAATCGTTTTATTGACCGAGTTGCATACCCAAAACGTACTCTAATTTGTGTAACAACCCGTTCCTCACCACAGACGGGAGATTGCCTGAGACAACCCAATGCCTTGGCTGACATGAGGATTTGTAACATGATTCAATCCATTAAAATGTCACACACAGTAAAAATCTAAATCTGGATGTGAAATGTCACATGGCGTGGCATGGTTCCACTAATCTACCGAGCTGTAAATCTATTACTGAGGCCAATGTCAGCCATGTGAGAACCTTGTGGTCGACTAAAAAGGTCAAAATAATGTGCTGGCCTGTACAGGTAATGAGGTCTTCACTTTTCAGCATGCAGAGTGAATTCAATGGAGGGGTTACATTTAATATTAATCTAATACATTTACAAGGATAGGCCCTTCTGTAGCTCAGTTGGTAGAGCATGGCGCTTGCAACGCCAGGGTTGTGGGTTTGATTCCCACGGGGGGCCAGTATGAAAAATGTATGCACTCACTAACTGTAAGTCGCTCTGGATAAGAGCGTCTGCTAAATGACTTAAATGTAAAAAAAAAAATAATGGGAAGCTATTGGGTTTTACAGATCTTCAGATAAACATACTAAGAAGCATAAATAGAGTTACAAGAAGGAGTTACATTTCCTGCTAGAGTTAGCAACAGATCAACAAGCAACAGATCATTTACCAGCTCAATATGGCCATGTTCTGAAACGAGTGTGCCAGAAATACATCCAGCTTCCACACAGCACTGCTTTATTGCTTGGTGGCAGATATGCTGCCATTTGAGCCGTGCACCAGAGGATATGAACATATACGAAACAGACTTATCCCTGATATGGTCATTAAATGGACCAGTCAAATACCTGCTTCTTATTTGACAACTTTATTTTAAGAATTTCAAATATGTGGTTATAATAATAAATGTTAAACAATGTTGAACATTATACGGGAATCGCACACCCTCCCTTCAGCTGCAGCTGTTGGAACAAGTGTCAGGGGGAGCAGTCGCCAAGCCTTTGGAAGAGTCAGGACAAGTGACAGCCCAATCCACTAGATGGCCTGACGCCAGTGTTCAACGTTTAGAAGTGAAACACTTTACATCCTGTCGAATAGTTGGAAGACTGATATACAGTGCATTCGGAAAGTATTCAGACCCCTTGACTTTTTCCACATTTTGTTACATTACAGCCTTATTCTAAAATAGATTAAATTGTTTTTTCCCCCTCATCAATCTACACACAATACCCCATAATGACAAAGCAAAAACAGGTTTTTAGACATTTTTGCAAATGTATATATAAATACAAACTAAAATATTACATTTACATAAGTATTCAGACCCTTTACTCAGCAGTTTGTTGAAGCACCTTTGGCAGCGATTACAGCCTCGAGTCTTCTTGGGTATGACGCTACAAGCTGACCTCATCCCTATAGGCTGTCTCGTCGTTGTCGTGATCAGGCCTACCACTGTGTCATCGGCAAACTTAATGATGGTGTTGGAGTCGTTCCTGGCCATAAAGTCATGAGTGAACAGGGAGTACAGGAGGGGACTGAGCACGCACCCCTGAGGGGCCGCCGTGTTGAGGATCAGCGTGGCGGATGTGTTGTTAGCTACCCTTACCAACTGGGGGCGGCCCGTCAGGAAGTCCAGGATCCAGTTGCAGAGGGAGGTGTTTAGTCCCAGGGTCCTTAGCTTAGTTTTGAGCTTTGAGGGCACTATGGTGTTGAACGCTGAGCTGTAGTCAATGAATAGCATTCTCACATAGGTGTTCCTTTTGTCCAGGTGTGAAAGGGCAGTGTGGAGCGCAATAGAGATTGCATCATCTGTGGATCTGTTGGGGCGGGATGCAAATTGGAGTGGATCTAGGGTTTCTGGGATAATGGTGTTGATGTGAGCCATGACCAGCCTTTCAAAGCACTTCATGGCTACAGACGTGAGTGCTACAGGTAGGTAGTCATTTTGGCAGGTTACCTTAGTGCTCTTGGGCACAGGGACTATGGTGGTCTGCTTGAAACATGTTGTTATTACAGACTCAGACAGGGAGAGGTTGAAAATGTCAGTGAAGACACTTGCCAGTTGGTCAGCGCATGCTCGGAGTACACGTCCTG